CTCTCAGCAAGGACAGGGAAAGTGAGGGTACATTTAGTGGAACAGAAAGTCTCTTATACCCTGTTTGTAAAGAAGCAGATCTGTGCCCTAGAGCTGCAGGGTAGCTGGCTGGTTTCCTTGAGGATGCTCATTAGTGCAGTAGTTCCATGTTGGTGGTAACAGCCTGGCAGGGCTGACTCTGCTCCAAGGTGGAACTCAGAACGGCAGCAGCCCTTGGCAGGAGCTCCCAAGGCCACCAAGGGCATTGTACCCTCACTGTGTCCTTTACCTGAACAGGGCTGCTGAGGAGGAACCGAGGCTGGCAGGGGGTTATTTCCTGCTGGTTTCATAAGTTCCTGTCAGGCCAGGCTGCTTTTGCTGTGAGAACAGCTGTTCAGACAGATCCTCTGGCCACCTCTGCCTCGGCGACGGTGTAGAAACCGGTTTGCATTTCCTTGCCTTCCAGAGGAGCAGTGTCAGGCAAATCCCTCCTCCAGCTTCACACGGAGCAGTGTCACTCTCCTGGCTGTGGCCTGGAGCTGGGTGATACCAGGGAGCCAGAAACACCAGAGGAACCTGTGTCTGTGCCAATCTGCCAGCAGAGCGAGCTTGGTGCTGCTCTGTTCACACACCTGGGTCAGGTGTCAGCCCGGGGGAACTTCTCGTGCTGCTGTGCTGCCCAGTGACCACATGCCAGAGAGTCTGCAGTGTTTGGTGGAGTGACATGTTTTCACCTATCATATTGGAGGCAACAACAACAGAAGACACAGTTATCAGCTCTTTTGGGGGAGATATGAGGATAACAAAATGTCCTGTGAAGAGGGAGGAGCTGACCAGCTGACTGTTCAGCCTGTAAGAGCGAGCCCGGGGCACGGTGCTGCCGGTGTCACTCCTGGGTGTGACTGTGCCACCACCTCTCTCCCCAGGGGCTGGAGTGGCTCTGCTCAACGACCACATTTACGTGGTCGGTGGGTTCGACGGGACAGCACATCTCTCCTCCGTGGAAGCCTACAACATCCGCACCGATTCCTGGACGACGGTGACGAGCATGACCACGCCCCGGTGCTACGTGGGGGCCACGGTGCTGCGGGGCCGGCTGTACGCCATCGCTGGGTAAGCACTGCTGGCCTGCACGGCCCGGCCTGCGGCTCTGTGCGCTGGAACGGGGGAGCTGAGGGGACGCAGGGGCTGCCCCATCTCAGCCGGCCGCTCCTCACATGGATATTTCAAGAGGGGACGGCCCACAGGGTCGCCGTGCCCACCCAGGGCCCAGGCAGGCGGGAGAGCAGCAGCAGACAGCAAGGGCAGCCTCATGCAGACGTTCCATTCTGGGCCGTTCCTGCTCTGCGCGGCCGCCCGGCCTCCCAGGAAGGGCTCTGAATGCCTCAGCCTCTTCCTCCAACGCCATCCTTCACCTGTAACTTTCTGTCCTGGCAGATACGATGGCAACTCACTGCTGAGCAGCATCGAGTGCTACGATCCCATCATTGACAACTGGGAAGTGGTCACCTCCCTGGGGATGCAGCGCTGCGACGCAGGAGTCTGCGTCCTTCGGGAGAAGTGATCAGGAGGGAGCTCACAAAGAAGAACATTCTAAGAAGTCTCGGCTGGAGGAAGAGTCCCAAGTGATTTGCAGTGACTGTTCTTGAGAGTTGTGGATGCTGTGGGAATAGGCACCAGAAGAGCAGCTTTCTGTGCTGCTTGTGACTAGAGCATGTGCATAACCGTGTGATCTCAGCAGTCATTTGAAATCAGGGGCTCTATGGGAAGCTGGAGGAAGGGGGTGAGTGGGTCATGAGAAGCTGCACTCTCTGCTGTTCCTGTGGCTTAGTCTATGGGCAGAGCAGAGATGCCCCAGCCTGGCCTCAGCCAGCCTGGTGAGCCCTCCCAAGGACATGTACATACCACTGGGTCACCTCTTCAGCCACCACAGGACCCCGCGGGTCCTCGGGTCACTCTCAGCCACGTGGATGTGTGAGGGTGAATCCAGCTGCTCTTGTGTTCCAGCTTCAAATCATCATGTACATATGAATGTTCAAACATGCTCCTTGAGCACACGTGGGTGCAGAGCCAGATTGGGTGAGTGTGTGTGAGGGGGGGCTGCAGTGTCGCTGTGTCTGCAGGTTCCTCCCAGGGCTGCACACAAAAGGAGTCGCAGGTTAAAGCTGTCAACTACTGAGACCCAGAAGCCTGAGGCCGCAGGGGCAGAGGGCAGGGGGGAAGCTCACTGCCTGCTGCAGAAGCAGGGCTGCAGTGTTTGTGCTCTTGATCAGGCGCTCAGCAAGGTTCTTCACATCGTACTTCCCTCAAGAAGCTTGAGAGCCCCAGCTGCAAAGCGCTGCCATCTGTGGCACCAGGAGCCCTGCTGTGCCTTTGCTCCCACCCTGCAGGGAGGTCACCTGAGCTGAGGCCATGAGAGTAGGGACACAGTGGCTGCTGCCCACCAAGGTCTTGCTGGAGAGTGACTGGGGTTCATCCCTGGACACACCTGAGTCCAGCACACCCACGGCAGCCTTTCACTCAAGTTTATTGTGTTGGTTTTCCTTTTATCTAGGATTTTTCTGCTTCCGGGGCTGTTCTGGAGTAACATCCACGATTCCGTTTCGCCCTTTGTTCTCAGCTGTTTATTCCCCTGCCCACATCCTCTGACACTTGCTATCCCTCGCCTGCCCCACGAGCCCAAGTGAGGGCTCCATCGCTGGCTCCCTGGAGCACTCCCTGCTCAGCATGTGTCCTGCCTCGCTGTGTTCCTGGGAGCACAGGCTCCCCTCTGCCATCAGCTTGGCCCCACAGTGCCTGGGCTCTGTGTAGTGCTGCTCGTTGAGCTTCCTGCTGACTCCTTGCTTGGGGACAGGGTGGGATCAGGGACGTGGTAGCATGACTTATGCACTTTCAGCCAACGCTCTGAACCTTCTGCGTTTGTTTCTATCACACAAGTGTTCTGTGGTTTTGTTTCCTATGTTTATTTTCTAATGAAAGTATAAAGAATAAAATATTTCCTGAGCCAGTGGGAGTTTAGCTTCTGTTCTCTGCCTTCCAGACCTTTGCCTAACTACCGTGTAGAGGGTTTGTGCAAACCCTGTGTTAGACCAGGCAGCCACCTTCAGCTGTGTCTCTGCCCTGCAGTTTCAGCCTGGTGGTGAAAAACAGCTGCTCCAGCTGTGAGATCCACAGCACAGAGACCAGCCAGGCCTGGAGGACTCGCTAACGGGGGGATTTGTTGCAAGGTCCGTTGGAGAAGAGCACGGCAGCAGAGATAAGGGAAAGGCTGTGATTACAGTCGACAGCAATAATTAGTCCTCAGGGGCTGAACAAGAGCCCAGGTGTGCCCAGGTGGCCAAGAAGGCCAGTGGCACCTGGCTTGTACCAGGCAGCAGGACCAGGGCAGTGACCTGCGCTGGGCACTGCTGAGGCCTCTTGAATCCTGGAGTCAGTTCTGAGATTCTCACAACAAGAAAGACACTGAGGGGCTGGAGCGTGTCCAGAGAAGGGAACGGAGCTGGGGAAGGGTCTGGAGCAGCAGGAGCAGCTGAGGGAGCGGGGGGGGCTCAGCCTGGAGAAAAGGAGGGCTGTGTGGGGGGGTGCTGCTGAGCTTCTCACCACCCTCCTGCACCCGCTCCCCTCTCAGCTCAGCAAGGCCTGCGCTGGCTCCACACACACACAGGTGGTTCAGGAGCTCCCAGGCACTGTTCCTGCCTTAGAAATACTGGCACAAGTCACAGGGGAATGGGGTTATGTCTGCAATCTACACTCACCCCCCATCCCTTGGCAGGACTGCCTAGGCTGGAGTCTGAGGTGAGCAGCTGGATTGCTGATGAAATCCTGTACCTTTATGTAATACTTCAACATCAGTTCCCATTTCTGGCTTCTCCTGAGAGTTCTTGGCAGCAGACAGTGAGGAGACAGTGAGGCAGCAGGAAGATGGTGCATATTTACACTAAATGGCCAGAAAAAAAAGCAAGAATTGGAGCTCTTCTGGGATCTGGTTTACTCCCTAAAGAAGCAGTGGCTCAACCAAAAGGTCTCTCTCAGTCTTTTCAACCATACTAACAACAGTGGGCCATTAGCAGCAGGTCCCAAGACCAGCACACAGCCACAGGGGCTGAAAGGTGCTCAGTGAAGAGCAGCAGAGTCACCTGTGCCCCAGGACTTCTCCAGCACTGCTGCCTGTAAGCACTGGCACTGCCTCCTGCTTTGCCCGGGCTCTTTGGGGTCAGGCTGGTCTGTGCTTCCCTCTCCTGGGAAACACATTGCTCCCAGTGTCAGCCCCCCGCCCCTTTCAGTGCACTCCGTGCTCCCCAGTTTGGAGGGGGGTCTCTCTGTAAGGAGCAGCCATGTGAGCTGCTGTGTGCAGCAGCAACAGAGTGTACCCGGGCTCTCCCGAACGCTGATGCGACCACTACGCGCAAAATACGTGCAGCAGCTTCACAGAATCCCAGAATGGGTGAGGTTGGAAGGGACCACAGTGGGTCATGCGGCCCAACCTCCCCCAGGCAGGGTCATCCCCGAGCACACGGCACAGGATTGTGTCCAGACAGCTCTTGAATATCTCCAGTGAGGGAGACTTTGAATGGAGACAATTTCCCTTTGTCCAGCATCAACTGAGCTCCTTCTTCTACCTCTGTGACAAAGTCAGGTGTCTCCAGACTCCCATTCCGGTAAGTGACGGTCCCTGATGGTCCCTGCGGGGCTGCACACGACAGACAGACCCTCGCTGCTGGCTGGTGGCACATCCCGGGATCACGTCGGGGGGGATCAGAGTCCCAGACTGGTTTGGGTGGAAAGGGACCCTTCCATGGGCAGGGACACCTTCCACTGGACCAGCTCACTGCCAGCCCCGTGGACACTCCCAGGGATGGAGGAGCCGGGTGGGACCACCCGGGGCGGGGGGGCAGGGCCGTGACGCCAGCGTAGCCCGTGGCGTGACGTCACAAGCCGTGCGCTGAGCGAGGGGCGGGGCCATGGCTGTGACGTCACTGCGCCTGTGACCTGACGTCATCGGCTCGCCCCGCCCGTCGGCCATGGCGGCGCCCTGCGCGGAGATGGAGCCGGCGGCGCCTCCTCCTTCCCCTCCTCCCGCTCCCGCTCCCGCCGCCGCGCCGGGCTCGGCCGGGCTCGTGTGCGCGCAGGGCCGCAACCTGCGGGCGGTTCTGTGCCAGCGCTGCGGCTCCCGGGTGCTGCTGCCCGGCGCCGCCACCTTCGCCCGCCGTGAGGTACCGGGGGGTGCTGAGGGGAGCGGGGGGGCGGGCGGTGCCGGGCGGGCGGTGACGGCCCCGTGGTGTCTCCGCAGCTCCTCCTGCCCGCCATGAGGAAGAAGGCGGCGGCGGCGGCGGCGGGAGGCGGCGGGGACGTGCTGCGGGAGCACTGGCTGGTGCGCGACATGTTCTCCTTCGAGAACGTGGGGTTCACCCGCGACGTGGGCAACGTGAAGTTCCTGGTGTGCGCCGACTGCGAGGCGGGGCCCATCGGCTGGCACTGCCTGGACGACAAGGACAGCTTCTACGTGGCTCTGGAACGCGTGGCCCACGAGTGACCGCGGCCCCGGGCCCCGGGCTGGCAGCTGGGCTCGGCCGCCAGGAGCCCCGACAGCCCTGAGAGCCACAGCCCGGGCTGGGGCCCAGGGCACTGCCCGCGGCTGGGCTGGGCAGCCCAGTGTCTGACTGACCACAGCCCGGCTGGGCAGCCCAGTGTCTGACTGACCACAGCCCGGCTGGGCAGCCCAGTGTCTGACTGACCACAGCCTGCCTGCCCTGTGGTGTGACTGACCCACAGCCTGACTGGTCGCCTCACGTGCCAGGTCCACAGGCTGAGCAGCACCAGGAAGCGCAGCCCTGGCACAGCCAACTCCTCTCCCACACAGGAAGGCTGGTGGTGGTGGGAGGGTCCCCTGTGACCTGCAGGGACATCTCACCATGACAGTTTTGCCAAATAACCCGATCTGCCACTGTCTGCTCTGTCGCTTCCCTCGTGGCTGCTGTTGCTCCAAGGTGCTGGGATGCCTCTCAGGCTGCTGGCTCTGTGACACCGTGTGAATGTGGGCACTGGGAAGGGGCGAGGGGAGGACACGACTGCTGCACTGAGTTGTCGTGGCAGCTAAAATTGTCTGACCTACAGCCAGAGCAGTTGCGGGGTTTAAGGCTGAATCTTCTGCTGATTTTCAGAAGGAATGTTCCCTGCCCCAAGGCCTAACATTTGCATTCTCCAGAATCTCATCCCACCTGACAGCTGTACGCTGTGGGAGTGTGTGGCGCCTGAAGTGAGTGTAAGGCATTCCAGCTAACGTGTGCAGTTCCATTAACCGAGTACCTGGAAACCAAACACAGTACAGGTAAAGCAGCTGAGAGAGCAGCAAATAAAGAAAATGTGCCAGATCATAGTGTTTTCAGGCAGCAAGAGTGAAGAGATTCTAGCCTGAAAAGGATCTGAATCATTGGACAGGCAGTGTGCAGTGACTGTATGTGCCAGTGCTGAAGCATGTCAGAGTAGCCACTTGTGTATGTTTTAAAGAAGTCAGGAAAGAGTTTCTCTTCTGTAAAAGCACCTGAGGAGAGCAATCTGGTATGTTGTGACCAGTTTTAGTCTCTGCCTTTTAAAAGCTGGGCACAAAGCTGACTGAAAATGGAAGGAGGCTGCAGCAGCTGTTCCCTGCATTTATCGTGGCCCAGTTCGTTCTCCATTGCAGACTCCAGGCTGAGTGACAGAGCAGCTCTCCGGGGATGCTCTGGGGTCCTGGTGCTGTGCCTCTGCTCATGAACACGTGGGTACTGACCCAGCTGTGAAGGCGCAGCTGTCACCGTGCTGGGATGATGGAGTTGTTTGGGCCACCAAACTCCAGGTGGGTTTTACCTGCAGATTGAGGACATTTCTGCCTCAAGGCTGTGCGAGGGACCTTTCCCTCTCTCCTCTAATGAAGCAGTTTTGTTGGCAGGAGTCTCTAAGGCAGGCACAGCCTTGGGCAAGGCTCTCAGAAAGGCCTCCTGACAGCGGGAGAGGGAGAAACAAGCCTCTTCTCCCTGCAGGATTTGAGCACCTGCACTTTTAAGATTTGGAGACTCTGCCTTAATGTAGAACAACCAAGGTGCTGGCTGTGCTGGGGCTGCTCCATCAGGAACCTCTGCTGTGGGCAGTCAGGATTTTTCAGAGGAGGGAGAGGAGCAGAACTATAGTCTGGGGGCTGAGGCTCTTGCTGGAGCAGGAGGTGAATCCTGTGCTGTGCCCTTGTTAAATGTGTCAGATGCACATTTGACATGAAGACTGCTGCTTCCCTCCTGCCCTTCCTGTCTCTTAGTCCTCAGCCCAGTGACTCAACAGGTTCATCAAGGGGATGTACCTCAAAAGGCAGGAGAGCTTCACTTGGGTTCTGCACAGGCACAGCAAAATGGTGGGATCATGTCACTAATTTCACACTTTCACTTGGATTGTTGTCTGTTGGGGAACATGTTTTGACCTGTAATGCCCCAGTTATAGTCTGTGTTACTTAAATATAACATGTGCTGCACAAGCTTCATTTCAAAGGCACCACTGTGCAGAACAGGTTGTGGAAATCAGCTTGGCTAACACTGAGTAAATGACCTTCAAAAAATAGTACATGTATGCTGATACTGGGGAGCAGTGGGTGGCACTGGGACGAAGCTGGGGGGTGGTGGCAGCTTTCCCAGTTAGTAGAACACTTCTGGATGGGTGGGAGACCTCAGGTCAAAGGCCTTCACATCAGAATGGCAGTGATTTGAATCCACCTCGGTGCAGCACTGCTCAGTGATGAGTGCTGGGAGCTCCTGCTGCCCTTTGGTGGGAGAGGGGAGGTGAGTCCTCCATGGAATCCAGGTGTGCTTCCTGCTGACTCCTAAATATAGAACAGGAGCGCACAGACTGTGGAAGTGCTAAGAAGAAATGAACAGTCTGATGGGAATTCTTGAGACGAAGCTTTTGTGCCATGAGATCTTGGGATCTTTTCAGCCTCCTGTGCTGTTAGTGGAGCTTTGGGGGATGAATGTCCTGGTCAGCAGACATGGGGGAAGAGCTGCTGCTCCTTCACTGGACACACCACCAGGCTGGGGAGCTGCTGAAGTGCTGTGCCATTCCTGTGTCAGCGAGAGCTAATAAAAATTCAGACAGACTTAAAAATAAACATAAGTTTTTCACTGCTTTTTATCCAGCATGTTGAAACACTGTTTTCCCGTTACCTGCAGTAACTCCTAGGAAAAAAAGGATAGACAACCCTCAGGCACAGGAAGCACTTACATAAAGACCTGGAAAGGCTCATCTCTTGCAGCCCATTTTTCTTTATCAACACCAAGACAGAGCAGAAACCCTTATTTCCACGTGCAAGTCACTTTAAATTAATTTGAAAATGGGTTCTTCTATTTAATGGCTGCATAGACTTGACTCCTAAGACCACTCTGTGTTGAGCTGTAGCAGTGCAACGACAGGGAACAGTAATAAACCTGTGCCCCTTGGGGAGGGGGAACAAATAATAACAATTTTGTCTAATTGCTTCCCAGTGTGGATTTAAGGCATGCCTGTTTGTATGGGTCAGGTGTTTATATCGCATAAATGTGTTTAGTATGGCTAAAAGCAGACCTTGCTCTGCTCTGGCTCTGGTATTGAGATGGGTTCACAGCCCCAGAGCCGTGGTCTGGGCTTGGCTGACAGTGGCACCCTGTGTAGCTTCACCCCTCTGCTCCCATTCCCACCCAAGCCCCTTCCTCGAGCAGCTGCTGAACCCTTTGCGTGTTCAGTTTGATAACATAGGCCAAAGCTTCTTTTCTTGGGCTGGTGGGCTGACCCATGGGAGTTTGAGCTTTGCAGCCTGTGAGATAATCCAGAGGCAATGGTAGGATGAAGGTTCTTCCCCCTTTCAGTAGCCAGAGGCTGTGAGATCATCTGAGGAGACCTGCCACAAGTCATGCCTTGCACAGACTCTCAGTCACACTCTTCCCTAAATTAAGTGCATTTCACTGATCAGGTAAGGGGTGCTTGGAGCAGGGACTGGAATTCAACGCTCCCTCTTTCCCCAGCTCTGCAAGTCAGCAAAAGGCCTTGGTGTCTGGGCCTGCCAACACCTGAGGTCTCTCCTTGATTCCTCACCTCTTGCTGAGGAAATCTGTGGCAGAGCAGTGATGACAATATGGATTTTGAAGGAGTAGCTTGGAAGACTTTGCTGTTTTGCCTCCCTGCTGTGTTCCAGGGCTCTTTCATCCAGCTGGTCCGCATAGAGGCAGCCAGGAGGGGTTAAAGTGTGATCCTTGCAACACCTGCACTCACTCTGTGGAACCTGCTGCCTGCAGGTACAGAGGGGAGGGGCTCAGCAGAGTTCAGAGAAGAGCTGTGAGTTGATAAAGCAGGGCCAGCTTGGCCAGGAGGGGTGGTTGTGGTGTTCCCTGTCCTGCACAGCTCACCTTGCTGCTTTCCCTAAAACCTCTGTGTGAACAGGGGCCGCCCCATCAGCACAGGCAGTGCTGCAGGGGGGAGTGTTTGGGGCAACAGGGATCTCTGAAATGTATTATGAATTCCTCTGAAGGCCATTTTACGTGTCTGACATTACAGGAACAAAAGTAGGAGGAAAGGAAACAATGGAGAGGAAATAGCTTTGGGGTCCTTGGACAACTGGTGCAGGGAAAGCTTCCCTGCCTCCTGCAGAGTCAGGTTAATACAGGCCAAACTCTAAAATCAAAGAAACACTAAACCACCGAGTATTTTGCCAAAAACCACCGAGTATTTTGCAGCTGCTTGGGGACATGGAAGGAAACCACAGCAGATGAGTGGAACTTGCCATAAAAGTGCAGAGAGTACACGAGGCCTTTGATAAAAGCCAGCTTTGTTCTCCTTTCAACCAACACTTTTATGCATTTCAGCATAAATACTTGTGTGCTGAGTTGTGAGGCAGCCAGGTCTGTACAGGGCAGCTTTGGTACGAGCACAGCGGGGCCCCTCAGTGCTGGGGAGGGGAGGGAAGGGGGGGATGGCGGCCCAGCAATCCAGGTGAGAGTTGCTGAGCTGTGGGGCTGTGCCCCTGGGTGGGGGGGAGAAGCCAGTTTTTGCAGGAGTCTTGGATTGTGCTCTGGAGTGAGTCACCGGCGTCTGAAAACGACTTTACCGTGCACTGGGTGAAAATCAAGTGCTTTGCTCCCCACGTCCAATCCCTGAGGAAGAGTGATCAGGTTCTGGGGTTGCTGACATAACACTTCCATCCTCTGAGAGAGGGAAACGGTTCTGGAAAAAACATTTCTTGCATTTTTCCTAAAACCGAATCCAGCGTGGCACAGTCCAACCTGTTGCTGCAATTCGACTTTTGAAATCCTGCACATCCAACGGTGGGAGAGCTACAGGGGTGCAAACAGCCTGTGGCAAAGGATCTGTCCCTTCAGCATCACAGGGGCACCTCCTGCGGGCTTCAGCTTTGGTTTTGGTTCAGACATGAACTGTCCAGATACAGCTTCTGCCTGGAGAAAGGCACAGTTGCCCTTCCCTCCTTGGCACGGTTCTATCAGCCGTGGGCTGGGCTGGAGGGCACAGCCCTGGGCAGGCTGGTAGCCTGGAAATGCAGTTGGGCCTGGCGTGGGGCATGTGCTGCCCAGGCAGAGGAGGCCAAGGCAAAGAGCCAGAGCCATGTGTTTCCAGCAGCCCTGGGTGTGTCTGGCAGGACAGGGCAGAGCTGCAGGCAGGGTCTGTCCTTCACAAGTCTTCCAGGGCAATTTGTGAGTTGATGGGATCCTTGGGGCAAGAGGCTGCTGCTGGGAGAGTTCCCTCCTGGATGTGTTCATCCCCATCCCCTGCCTCCCCTTGCTGGGGAAGCAGCAGGGAGTGTGTGTATGCTCAGCTGGGCTTCTGCTCCCCCTTTCATGTTCCTTATCTACCAGGAGGCTCTGAATTCCCTGGAGGAAGGGAAGGTTGATGCTGTGAGTGCAGAGGCAGAGCATTCCTCTCTGCTGCTGCCAGTCCCCTCTGCCATTGTTCCAACCCAGCTGGAAGAGATGCCCTGAGAGCAAGGGAAAATGGGCAAAGCCATGTCAGCACAGGTATCCTTCCCCTCCTGGAGCAGCTGGCTCTGCACACCGCCTGGAATGCTGTGAACAGCAGGCTCTTTCCATGGCAAACATCCAGAACTGCAGCTCGTGCAGAATCACTGGTTAATTTGGAATATCTGGCAGTGGAACATGAGGACGTGGCTTCAAGAACTTGTTGCCTCGTGCTTTCCTGGGAGGGGAGCAGCCTGTGCCCCGTGTGCTCTAAAACAGGCAGGACGACTCAGTTCTCCTTGCCAGGCCATGGTAAGTCCAAGGGACTGGCACCAAAAAGGGCAGGAAGCCAAAAATGCCAGGACTCAGCGAACAGAACCCAACTGCCAGGGAGAAAGGATGCCTGGAGAGAGGAGCAGCCTCAGGCTCTGGAGGGAGGAACCTCCCTCGATCAGGAATACCCGGGAGGGAGGGCTGTAGCTGCAGGAGTCAGCAGCAATTTGGGGGCTCCGTGTCCATGGCAGCTCGATCTCTGCTGCAGCCACAGGTGCCCCAGTTTGGCTCTGGTGCCAATGCTCAACCTTCTCCAGGCTGAACACCCCCAGCTCTCCCACCTGTCTCCAGAGCACAGGGGGTCTAGCCATCAGAGCATGTTTGTGGCCCAAAAAATAAAAAAGGCCAATTCATGTCCCAAAAAAAGAGGCAAATTACTGTAGCAGTGCAGGACAAGATGTGTTTTCAGTACCTAAACCAGAAGTTGGTGATGGAGAACACAGAATTTATAGACTAGGGACAGTTTAATCCCAGGTAACAAAGTGAACCTGGGCCAAGCAGTTTAACCAACACAGGTACCAAAGTCTGGCATCATTTGAAACAGGGGCACCATCCAGCACAGGCACACAGCACCCCAATACAGAGGGGGCACGGCCAATAGGTGAGTGATTCAGGAGACCTTTGAAGTGTAAAGAAAAAACAAGTGCAGTTGATGGAGAGGCTGTTTCAGCTTTGACAAAGGTCAGGGGGAGGTTTGGTACCGCAGAGCAGCAGGGAAGGGCAGGAAGCAGCACTGGGAGAGTCAGGGCTGAAGCAGCATTTAAAGCGTGCAGGGGCGGGAGCAGCCCCGGTAATGTGGGCTTGCAGAGAGCAAAACAAAGTAGGGCAGGTAGTCAAGTCCGTGCTTGCAGGAGCAGGATTAAAACAGTTGGATGAACAAATAATGTAAGATTTAAAACCAGAGAATGTACTGAAGGCCATTAAACCAAACTCTTACTTAAGGATTACTTCCAAGAAGCCAGGCTAATAGCACAGTGTGGTTACAAAGACGAGTGATCGAGGCAGAGAATGCTGACATTAAACTTGCTCGTGAAATGCTAATCTGTGCACAGACACACCGACTGTCACAGGGGGAGCCTTGCTAAACAAAAGCAGAGCCCAGCCCTTTGGGGTTCCACTCTGGCAACTCAGGCACATCCTGCACTTATTTGGACACTCCCTGCGGGGGAAGGACCAGGTATAAACAGGATTTAATCATCTCATTAGAGATACGCCCATTGCACACGTTCAGCGTTCTGGAAGGCAGCGATGCCTTCCCTTTTAAAACTGCTCTGGCTATGTCTTCTGCACTCACCATTCCCATATTTAAGAATTCCCAGCCCATCTGGGTCAGGGAGCGTTTAGATCAGGAATTAATTCATCCCTGTCTACTTGGATCGTTTTCAACTCTAAATGAAAGATATTTCTTGGCACCCAGTAAACCTTCCAAAAGCCCCATGGAGAATCCGTGGAGGTTTGGCCTGAAATCAGTGGATTAACCATTTCCACCTGGGAACATTCTCCCCAAATTATTGCTCTGTTTGCTGAGTGCAGCACTGGAGATAAAATGTGCAGGTCTGTGTGATGAGATACAAGGTTGTCGTGGTTTAGGAATGGTACTCCCCAGTTCAGTGCCCCCACCAAAATTCCCCCAAACCAGATGCCATTCGCTCCCCTCCCTTTCCCTCCTTGCTCTGCCCTGGGGATGGGGTTGAGAACTGGGGGTACAAAAGGTTAAAATCATGGGTTAAGATAAGAACAGTTTCCTGAAAACAACGAGATAAGAAAAGGACCAGTAACAGCAACAATATTAATAACAAAAGATACGAGACAAAGAAACGATTTACACAGAAAACCAGGACAACAAACATTCTGACTGGCTCTTCCCCCCCAGACCATGCCCATCTGCCACCGAGGGAGGGTCCCCTCCCCTGCCCTCGGTGACGATGTGGGTGGTGCTCCCGTGGCTCCAGGCTCTGCCCCCTCACAAGTACTGCGAAAAAAAATCCCCCTGTCGTGGCCAAACCCAGGAAGAATGTTCAGGTCCGTGTGGGGAGATGAACGCCTCGCTCTGCCGTTCAAGCCCAGCGATGTGCACTGAGCTGTTCCCACTCCCCCGTGCATCCCGGTTCACCTGCACTTCCACCTCCACGACCTGCTCCTTCGCAGGGCGCTGCCCCCACCGCCCTGGGGCAGAGCAGGGTTTGCCTCCCTTTCCCGGCAGGGCTTGTGGATCTTCGGCTTGCCCAGGAAATAGAAATGGGCTGAGTATCCCCCTTCTGCTCCAGGGTGATCCTCTGTTCCCTGGACATGGGGCAGGGAGAGCTGCAGTGGTTTCTGATTTTAACCCAGTCTAGTGAACCCAGTTCCACTCTGGATGTCTTCTGCTGTTCCCATGATATGTTTAGTTCACATCAATACATTCAGGCAGGAAAGGACACGGTGCTGGCTGCTCCTGCAGCTGTGGACTAGTGACAACACAGCCCATGACAACCAGACCTGAATGGCCAGATAAGCCTGTCTGGGCAGAACATGACCACAGTCAGGACTAAACCAACAAAAATCTCAGCACACAGCACAGGAAAGGACTGGTTTTCCTCATTCTTGCCAGCTCTACTTTATAGAACAGTTTTTCTTACCTGCTATTCCCTTCCCAGGCTACAGAGGGGAAAAAAAAGAACAAATCCCCCGTTTCTCTTCCCCATCCACCTCTTCAAAAGACTAATGAAGGTGCTGCTTTACCTGATGTCACGAACCTTGTCTCTCCCCAGCCTCTGCAGAGCTGACAGTGCATTTTGCACCAGCCAAAGGTCATGGCTGTGCAAAAGGAGGCCCTGGAAAAGTCCAGCAGCCCTGGGCCGGGTGTCAGACCTGTTGGCTCGAGGAGAAGGGTTACACCATGTCCAGTGACCCCAAGTGAACTGCACCCAGTGTCACAAAGGAAGATTACACCAAAACCAAAACACGTGATCCCTGTCAAGACAATTTGGAAGTAATTCCTTGCCAACACGAAACCCACTTGTTCCTGTAACAATACAGGACTCCTGATCCAGGAGGAGACTGTGTTACCTTCCCGGCACTGGCGAGGCATTGAGCTACCCGTGGGGAATGGGGCAGGAGCAAACAGACAAGCAAAAACCCATAGCTGACCATAGTCTGGGATCAGAAAATACAGGCTGGTGGTTCAGGAATCCTCTAAGGCAGGAATCACTGAAGGTGGGGAAGAATATCCCAGGGTAGTGGTGCTGTTCTACAGGCCCTTCCTCCACACTTCCCAAGGCATTTCCTGTGGGCCACCACGAGAGAGCTCAGAGGCAATAGCTGAGCCAGGGTGACTCTTATGTCCTCAGCAATTTCCTCCTGTGTACAGTCATGCCAGGATTAAAACACAGACCAGCCTCTCACCCTCTCCCACAGCACCAAAACAGCCAGGAGACATCACCAATGCAAAGGGGGACCTGCACCAGCACAACAACACCAACATTCAGCCCAGTTCCTGTGACAGGTATCCCTGGGCCCTCGTTTGCCACAGCCCCAGGTTGTGCAGAGGTCAGGGAATCATTCCCTCTTTGGGAGGCACCTCCCCACCTCTCCCTCAGGAGAACCCTGAGCTGCCAAATCAATCCCATCCCCTGCACCAGGAAGGGAGGGAAGGGGCCATGTTTGTGAATAATTAACTGTGTCACACCATCCCTCCCTCTGACACTTAGCCCTGGCCCTGATCCCAGCCATGGGTGTTCCTGGTGCTGTTTCATCTGACCTGACCAAGAGGAATCCTGGGTGCTCATTTTGGGGAAAGCAATGAGGAAAGAATGGAAGTAAAGAATACCTGGGGTAACACTGGTTGTCTGTAGCTAATGAGGATTTTAGATGGCAAATGACCCAGATAGTCATGAGCAGGTGACCATAAAGGCTGCAGCTGGCACAGCCATGTCAGAGGTGAGAGGAGGGACAGATCTGTCCCTGCTCACCTGGTTGTGCAATTCACTGTAGGAGAAAGTGAAATCCATGTTAAGGAACTGGCTGCTCCTTCCTGCTGCCAGCTGCTGCCAGCACACCCCCTCCCTTCAGCAGCTCCCAGCCAATGCCCAAGACCAGCTCCAGATCCTGCATCTAGAATATAAAGTAATTAATAAAATCAATTATATTAGAGACAGAAAGAGTCGTTCAGAGCCACAGAATAAAACCTGTCACTGAGGAGCAAGGCCCCCATGCTGCTGAGGCACCTCCTGACCCAGCCTGGAATGGGCTTTGCAGGGCTGGTGGTCACAGGGTATGGCTTAAAGCAGAGCAGGAGAACTCACTGCCAGTCCCCACCCTTGCCTGCCCTGTTCCTGTGCAGGAATTGTCCAGATTGGCGTCTGGGTTGGGTTTTCTGGCCTCCAAAAAGGAGGCATTTGGGAGGGAGTGTCTCTGCCTCGTGAGACAGTCAGAGGGGCCCTACACTTCTGGAAGAAGCCAGATCTAAAGGCAGGTTGAGCACACAGGACTGAGGATGGATGTGTGAAACGGAATGAATTTGCACTCAGAAGAGGAGGAGATGAACCCGGGTACTGAAATAATGAAGTCTTGGTGAAGCATTGTCCCCTCAGTGATGAAATCTGACTGTTTCACTCTCACTTTACACGTGCCCTCAGCAATCCTCCCACCCACACGAGTGTCCTGTGAGCTGGGGATGAGGAGGGGCCAGCACCTTAGTCAGCACCTCACTAAAATCCATGTAGCACCCTGCCATTGCCAGTCTGAGTGCTGGGAAATGTACCCAGAAATGCCAGGTCATCCCAAACCTGGCACAGACAGGTAGCTATAGCAGACAGGCACAGGGTTATGGCTGTCACATTTTCAGGACTTCACTGATAGAAGTGAATGTGCACACATTGTTTGTCAAGTGCTTCTGAGAAAGGACAGAAAGCAAGAGTTGCAGAGTTGCACATTCAAGGAAGTTTCATCCAAATTCCTGGAGAAGCCCCAGATCCACAGTGCAGCCACAGAGGCTGTATCACAGAGACACAGCCAGCCAGCATTTTCTGAAGGTATCATATCCACTGAGCACATGGGTTGCAGCCAAAGTCTGTGCCCTGGGGCCATGACAGCATGACCAGGCACAGAGAAATCCTGGGGAAACATAAAATCTTCTCATGCTGCATGTAGAACTGATCTCCAGCTGGAAAAGAGAATGCGCTCAATTAATCCATGATGGCCCCTTGGGCTTGACATTACTGCTTAGTCAGACTAAATCAAATGCATTTCCCAAGAAATGTTTTTCTAGGTGTGCAACTCCACCAGCTTCTGTAGGACTGGGGGACTTCTTGTCAGTGCAGCAACTCTGGGAGGGCACACTGAGGGAAACTGAGGCACACTCAGCTCCAAGTGCCAACCGTGTGGTCCTGCTGCCATGATCCCCTTTAACAGAACCACAGAATCATGGAATCATTCAGGTTGGAAAAGACCTCCAAGATCATCGAGTCCAACCTATGACCAATCCCCATCTTGTCAACCAGCTCTGAGCACTGAGTGCCATCATTCCTTGGACACCTCCTTGGACAGTGACTCTACCTCCCTGGGCAGTCCCATCCAATGCCTGACAACCCTTTCCGTGGAGAAATTCCTTCTGATGTCCAACCTGAACCTTCCCTGACACAGCCTGAGCCACGATGCCACACGAGACACCCGTTGCAGCCCCGGGAGTGGAGCTGAGGCAGTGCCAGGACAGGCTGCAGCTGCCCAAGTGCCTCTGAAATTTGACAAAGTAACACCAAAACATGGTTTTCTCACTAAAGTCCGACCGATACCTGGTGCAGTGGAGTGGTCTCAGTAGATCCAGAGAAGAAGGATAATGCTGCTTTCCGAGCTGAGGGACGGGTCAAAAATCCATTTCCCACTGGCTGTTAACACAAATCAGAGCAGGTAGTGAGTACAGCAGATAAACATGTGAAAAGCTCAGCTGAAGCTGGACCAGGGCACACTGTGACACTGCAGCCCAGCCTAATCTCTGATCTTATTTGTCAGCTAAGTTGAAAAGAATGCTCACTGCACTCACAGAGTGATACCATCTGCATTTCTGCTTTGGCAAGGGGTCTGACCCATCTCCTGTCATGGTGCTGTAACGTTTCTAAAGGAGACTAAAATCTCACAGTGTGACTGTACCACTGGCAGCCCAGGGTTTGCCCCACTGCTGAACTGCACTGGCAGAATTGAAAGGACAGTTGGAGCAGTGTGAGTGTTATTTCAGGTCAGAGCATTTGAAAAGCATAAATCAAATCTTTCAAAGTCCTATAACTAGTTTAAAAATAATGATATTTAAAAGAAAAAAATCAATGTGGGCACTTATTTTCCATGCATTATACAGTTTGGGTTAAACTTTGCTCACAGGTCGAAGATTTCCTTAGTAATTCACAACAACAGAACCAAATGTATTGTTCTGAATGAACACATGAAATTCTCACACATGTCCTGGTGCCTAGAATGGGAGGCTTTGAGAAAGAAGAAAAAGACAACACTGAAATATTTCTAAGACAATAGCAACATGTGGAAGAATTAAATTCAGTTTGGCCTATTTCCTCTTTTAACCTGCAGGAAGGGGATTCCCAAATCTGGGTTTGTGAAGATCCCATCAGTCATGTGGTGCTGATTATTTTTTTTTCCAACTGAGAAAAGCACAACAGATGATAAAAAAAGGAAGGGGGAAAGATTATCTGACTGCCCTATTTTTCTCAAATAAAAAAGAAGAAAAGAAACTAAAATATGTTAACTGTTTTCCTCTTTCATCCCAGCCCGGGACAGCCATTCCAGCCCGGGGACAGCGATCCCATCCTGGGTCCGCGCGCGAGCCTGAGGAGGGTGGCTCCGGCCTTCGTTGGCGGGAAGACTAAACCCCGCCCCCTCCCCGCCCCTGGTTACGAATCCACCAATAGCTCTCGCAGAAAGGTGACAGACATCCTTGCCACCCAATGGCGCCCAGCTGAGCGCACGCCTCGCTAATGAGCGCAGTGCAGGCAGCCCATCGCCCCGCCCCGCCCTATATAAGGGTGAGCCCGGGCAGGGCTCCCGCTGTCGCGGTGCTGCTCAGACACGTTGCGCGTCTGTCCCGGCGCTCCCGAGCCATGGTGAGCGTGGGGTGGGGGGCGCAGGGGGGTCCCGTGCGCTGCGGGAAAGAAGGGAAGGGGGGCGGGACGCGCGGGTCCGCCCTGGCGGCAGGGCGAAATCGGCTGGCGGGGTTGCCCTCGGCGGGCCCCGAGCCGTGTCTCGCCCCGGAATGTCGTTCCCGTGTCGCTCCCGCCGTCTCGTCCCAAAATGGTGGCGACCCCGCCGAGAACATGGCGGCCCGCGGGACCCTCAGCCCCGGGCACGGCCATCCCCCGTGGTCGCAGGTCCCTGCGGGAGCTGCCGGGGACCCGCTGGGTGTGACCCCGGGGAAGCTCCGGGGAGACCCGCAGAGGCGGAGCAGAGGAGCTCCTCTGTTCCCCGCCCCGGGTGTTCCCCAGGTGCCGCTCGCTGCCGGCGCCCGCTGTGGCGTGAGGCGTTGGGAGCGCCGGGAATGAGCTGATGTGGAGAATTCCTGGAGGACTGGCGGGGGTGAACGACCTGGCAGGTTGTGAGTCACCTTGAAGGGGGATCGGGAAGGTGCGACCAGGCGTCCCACAGGACAAGGTTCAGGTGCTGAGCTGGGCAGCACAGCCCGAGTCGGGGATGGGGGTGTTGGCCTTCTACATCTCCCTGGAAAGAGACCGTCAGAAGGTTACATGAGCTTAACAAAATGTAGCAAGACTGCTTCTGTGGGCTTGTGAATGCGTGGGAAATATGTATTGAACTGGAAATGGTTACAAGTTAGAGTACCGATGGGGTGTGTTGATGTCCTTGCCCTTGCACTTCCCTGGGGAGCTGTTTCTGGTCACGCTTTTTAAATAAAGTCAAATCGGGAGTCTGAATACAGCCCCTGGTCTCTGCCAAGGATACAGGTTCCCTGGAGTCCCATCCCAGGGAAACCACGTTCCTCTGTATGATGTGCTGTTGAGCTTGGTCTGAGCTGGCACAGCCGTTCTTAGGAAATCTGGCTTTCCATCAACCTCACACAGGTTGAGCTGGACCTTAAATACTATGCTGGGGGGTGCAGGGGACCTACAGCCTGACCCAGTGGTGTGATGGAGGGAGCTGGGGGGCTTTAACCCAGCAATGAGTGCAGGGGGCTGGGTCTGCAGCTGCTGGAAGGGCAGTGACAGAGGACAGGGCAGTGCCCTTCAGCTGGAGCCACATCCCATAGGGAAAGGAGGCAGAGATAGAGACTGGGCTGGAGAAATTCTACCTGAATTTTCACTGAAACTGTTTCTGTGCTTGCAAATAATGTAAGTAAGTGTAGGGAGAGCATTACTTCAGTAAAAAAAGGCATTCTGTGGCCTTCTATGGCTTGAATGCAGCACTTACCAGCACTGTCTGTAGTACACATTTAAACTGTAGTAATTACAAAGCTCCCCTCAGTGATATGTGAAGGCCCTGAGCTGTAATGAGTGTGACAGCTCTCTTGCTTGCCATTGCAACTTGGAGGTGATACTTTCAAGGCTTGGATTTTGTTCTGTTTTTTAGTATTCTTGATGCTGAAAAGGCCATGCAGAGCAAAATGGGCAGAGAGTATTTTAGTGTCTGACAGAGATTTGTGTTTAATTAAATAGCTATGTCCTACTTAGAAGTCCTTGGTAGAGTTGCAGGGAAGCAGTTGAAGGAACTCTTGAAGCAGGATGAACAGTAGCAGCAGGCCAGGCTTTGTGACTGACCTTGTCCAGACAAGTTTTGAAAACCTCCAAGGATGGAGCTCCCTTTCCACCTCTCTGGTGACCTGTTCCAGGGCCACACTACTTGTGAGGCTTTTCCTAACATGAACCTAAACCTCACAGCAGCCTCTGAGCATCCAACCTGGACCCACCTGCAGTGCAGAGGGAAGGCTTCTCCTGCACTGGCCGTGTACCTCCTTTTGTGGCCTGGCAAATGGTTTGCCTTACCATGGTTTGAGGATGAGAATGCCCTGTGGGCCATCCAGGCTGGTTTTTGTGGTGATCCTCAGGATCTTTGCAGCAGGGCTGATTCTCAGTTATTGCTGTTTGTACTGGTGCAGGGAGTCACTGCCCCATGTGCTGAACTTTGTACTTTGTCAAAGTAAACATGCCAAGGTTTAATGTCCCATCTGTAGCACCTGGTCTGTGCCTGTGTTGCCAAGTTGTACTTTCAGACATACATTTTCTTTGGAACACAAGTCATTGCTGTTGCTTTGTGTAGTCTTAATGTAGTGCTTGTTCCTGAGATGCTGGAAAGCTTGTGTGTAGTCTGACGTGCATTTACCTGGCTTGGGCATGCTAGTCATGGAATCATGGAATCCTCTGAGTTGGAAGGGACCCACAAGGGCCATTGAGTCCAACCCCTGACCCTGCACAGGACACCCCAATAATCCCACCCTGTCCCTGAGAGTGTTGTTCAAACACTCCTTGAGCTCTGTCAGCCTTGGTGCTGTGCCCACTGCCCTGGGGAGCCTGTTCAGTGCCCAACCACCCTCTGGGGGAAGAACCTTTTCCTGATATCCAACCTAACCCTCTCCTGACACAGCTTCATGCCATTCCCTTGGGTCCTGTCCCTGGTCAGCAGAGAACCCTCTGCTTCCTCTTATGAGGAAGATATAGACCATGATCAAATCTCTCCTCTTTTCCAGGCTAAACAAGCCAAGTGACCTCAGCTACTTCTCATATTCTTCTCCTTTACACCCTTCACCATCTCCACCATCTCTGTGGTGTAGTGTAGTCCTTACACACCCTTTCAACGACCTTCCCCAGCTGCTTAGGAGCTCCACCAGCAAGACTTAGGCCACTGGTAGGACCTCAGTCAAATGAGGATCTGTGGTGGTCTATGTTCTCCTCCTCCTGTAGAAGAGTTTCAGGCTGTCCTGCTCTCCTGAAGGGATGATTCCTCATTCTTTGCCATGACCTGGCCTCTCTGTGGCACTGCAGCTGGTTTTCTTGTCACCTGTTTTACACCCTGTAGGTGGGCTGTGTGTCCTCTGCCATCACAGCACCTTACCAGCCCAGTGCTTCAGCCTGGGAAGTGATGGCCTCGAAGAGGAGTAATGTGGCAGCAGCTCTGAGTAAGGCTGGTCACAGAGAGGATGTGGACTGGATATCTGAATATACAACTTGGATGGATGGGAGTTTACAAACAGCAGTTCAGCTGTACAGTGCTGTGGTTGAGAACAGGTGATTTTTTTTTTTTGGTTTTGTTTGGCGAATACAGATTTTAATGTTGTGGGGTTCCCAATGAATTTGAAAGGACCATGCTCCTGCTTTTCTGCATTAATTATGGATGTGGACTAGATCTCCCTGGAGCCTTCTCTTCTCCAGGCTGAGCTCTCCCAGCTCTCCCAGCCTGGCTCCAGAGCAGAGGGACTCCAGCCTTTGGAGCATCTCTGTGGCCTCCTCTGGACTCTCTCCAGCAGCTCCACATCCTTCTGATGTTGGCACCTCAGAGCTGGAGGCAGCTCTGCAGGGGGGTCTCACCTGAGGGGACAGAGGGGCAGAATCCCCCCCTCCCCTGCTGCCCCCGCTGTGGGATCAGCCCAGGGCACGGGGGGGGTTTCTGGGTCCCAGCACACATGGCTGGGGCATGTCCAGCCTGTTATCCACCAGCACCCCCAAGTCCTTCCCCTCAGGGCTGCTCTCAGTCCATTCGCTGCCTGGCCTGTACTCCTGCTTATCCTGGAATTCCAGGGGACAAAATTGCCTTGCCCAGTCATAGGGTCTGAACATAACTTTGGGTAACAGTCACATTGAACTGCCCTATATGCAGGCTCTTCTAGAACATATTCAACTGTCACTCAAAAACAGAACTTGAATGTAAAATGCCCCAGATGGACCAGGAGTTTGGAGATGTTTCCAATGTGGTTTGTTTTTTACCATTCAAAGCCCTATGATGAAATATTAAAGAAGCTGGGATTATGCTCTGGACACCAAAGGGAACCTGGGGATCTGTAAATGGGTAGGAATAGATCCTCTTGCTGCCATGGCTTCCATGAGATAGTTTTGTGTGGTGTTAAGGAATTGAGCACTTTGTGTGCAGCAGTGTGGTGTGAGACCTGATGGTCTTTATTAGTGGAGGGATACAAAGGGGTTTGTTAGGCAAAGACTTTCTTACAGAGTGGCAAAGCTTCCTAAAGGGATCAGGAGAATATTCTGATTTTATGTACGTTAAATGAGGTGACCCTGGATCTTGGGGAGAGTTTTGCTGCCTCTGGTGGCTGTGCTCCTGGGGCTGGAGTCTGAGTTGTGTTGTTCTGGACACTTAGGCCAGTGACAGGTGCAATCACCAGCTTTTCTACATATTCAGTGGCTGAAGGATTTGGAAGAGTTGATCAGACTCTTCCTGTCTGATTGAAGAACAACAAGGAGGAACGAGCTTGTAAAAATGATAATGTCCAAAAGGGTCTGTCTGGGTGGAGCTGTTGATGACTGAAGGGGGCTTTTGTGTTTTGTTGTGCTTTGTGCCAAATACCCCCCCGACACCAAGACAACAAGGCCAATGTTTCAATGGCTTTGCAGGCTGGGAGTCGGGGGTGGGTGTGCAGGAGGTTTGCTAAACAAGGGCAGTGCTGTTTGTGCTGAGCGATCCCTTTCTGTCCCGCAGCGCGAGTGCATCTCCATCCACGTGGGCCAGGCGGGCGTGCAGATCGGGAATGCCTGCTGGGAGCTGTACTGCCTGGAGCACGGCATCCAGCCCGACGGCACCATGCCCAGCGACAAGACCATCGGAGGGGGGGACGACTCCTTCAACACCTTCTTCAGCGAGACCGGGGCGGGGAAGCACGTCCCTCGGGCTGTGTTTGTGGACCTGGAACCTGCAGTCATAGGTAAGGGTGTCCTGCAGTCCCTTGCACATCTTTTGACTAAGGAACTGTGTCCAGTTCTGGGCCCCTCAGTTCAGGAAGGATATTGAGGTGCTGGAGCAGGTCCAGCAACGAGGCTGGTGAAGGGACTCAAGCACAAGTCCTATGAGGAGAGGCTGAGGGAGCTGGGGGGGCTCAGCCTGGAGAAGAGGAGGCTCAGGGGAGACCTTCTCACTCTCTGCAACTCCCTGACAGGAGGGGCGAGCCGGGGGGGGTTGGTCTCTTTTCCCAGGCAACCATCAGCAAGACAAGAGGGCTGGGTCTTCAGCTGTGTCAGGGGAGGTTTAGGTTGGACATTAGGAAGAATTTCTTTCCAGAGAGGGTGATCAGCCATTGGAATGGGCTGCCCAGGGAAGTGGTGGATTCTCCGTCCCTGGAGACTTTTAAAAAGAGACTGGATGTGGCATCAGTACCATGGGCTGGGAACCAGTGGAAGTGGATCAAGGGTTGGACTTGATGATCTCGGAGGTCCTTTCCAACCCAGCTGATTCTGTGATTCTATGAATTAATTTCTCTAGCCCTGAAAAAATGCTTTGGGGCTGCAAATTTTTACCTGCCTGCACCTTCCTAGTGATGGAAAAGGCTTGGCTTTATGTTCATTGCAATGCAAATGTGCACTATGAACTCTCAAGAATTTCACTATTATCTTCTGCTGTGGAGTTAAAGGGTCTTGTGAACACCCTGCATACTTTTGCTATGCAAGGAGCAGTTATAACCCCTTGGAACAGTATGGCATAATGTGTGCTGCAGAACCTCTTTAAAAGATGTGAAAGTATCGTTAAACAGATTTCTTATTGTACATGGTGCTTTCCCAAAGCAATCTTCTGCTCTGTGTACCTTTAGTTTAGTAGAGCTTGCAGAAATGGGTCTTCATCACTAGCCTAAATTCAGGGACTTCTGAGTATGCACTTCAACTTCCTACAACCTTATCTTTGAATAACAATCCACTCCTGAAAATCAGTTGTATTCCAAACTCTGGCAACGCTGGCTCTTGGTGTTCAGGTGTCATCCCACACCTCAGCCACTGACAGTCTCCCATCCTCGGGCAGTAGCTGCACTGCCAGCTCAACGTGAGCTTCCAGTTCACAAGACCCTTATTCCTTGGGTCACAAATCCTGGTTTTGCTCTTGCCAGTGTGTGCTGGAAGTAATTCTGTTGGAGCTGGTTTATGGCTGCCTTGCCTAGAGTAGTGACTTGAGGCTCTCCTAGCAGGGATCTGTGTTGTCTGTGCTTGTGCAGTTGCTGTGTTTATCATTCTGCAGTACAAGAGTTGGGGGAAATGTGTGGATGTGCTCAGGCTATTCCCGTGTACTCAAACTGTGGCTCTCCTGTAGGTTCTGTTCAGTGTAACACACTGTGGCTAACACAGCAGAAGGAACCTGTGAGGGGAGCAGAGGGCTGTGGGGCTGGTCAAAGGTGGGAGTGCTAGGCTGGTAACTTTGAAATGAGCCCAAGCACCCTCAGCCATACACTAATATTCCCAGGAGCTGTTGCCTTGTGGCTGTTGTCTCCTCTGCTGCTGGCCAGGTGGGGGCTCTGAGCAACCAGCAACAGCTGAGTCATGAGGTGAGGGAGGGCAGGTAGCAAAGCTCTCACCTGGCCTTGGGGGAAGGGGAGCTGGTGAGTCTTGGGACAAATTAAAGGTAGTGAGTGTTCAGTGCTTGTTAATGATGCAGGTGTAGTATGGGGAGAGGGACAAGAGGCTGTCTTAAAGCTTGGTAATACTCAAGGTTACATCATGTGCCTTTCTGGGGGGTAGCTGCCCTTCTTTATTCCTGCCTGGCTACTGTGAAAATTACTGCTCTGGTTTCCTGGGCAGGGCTAGGATGGGACTCCCCATTCATGCAGCGAGTCCCTCTGCACTGAGTTTATGAAAACCCATCTCCTGTGTATGTGGCAGCTCTGCAGCTCTGTCCTTCCAGAGCAGTGTTGCTCTTGGAGAAAGCAGCAGGATGCTGGACATGTGCACCATCAAACTTTCCACCACAAAATAGGGCAGTGACATCTGAGAATTCAGCACAAGTGTCCTGAAAAGTCTAACCCAGCTAGACTTAAAAAGATGAAGCACAGCATGTCTGGTTTAGCTGTTCCCTCAACTCTAAATTCTTTGTTCCAGCACACTTTCATAGTCCAGTGACTGATCCTCTAAATTCTACTAGTTTTGTTACTTCCCCAGGACCATCCTGACTCATACTGCACCTATCAGCTGCCTTTTTCTTTATTTCTATGTTTTCCCTTATTACCTATATTTATCCTTTATAATTTGGAGTGGTAATGCAGGAAGTCCTGGACACATGAGTATTTGGGATGGTAAACTTCTCCAAATTGTTTCTTTTGATGCTGTCTTACAAATACTTTAGAATATTGGATTGCAGACTGCAGTGGGAGCTGCTCAGCCTAAACTGGTTTGAATAGTATTTTTGCATCTTGAATTTTACTTATCTTTGTCTTGCTAGCTCTTTTTCAGATTAATGAATATAGGCAAACAGGCAACTTCAGCTGTAGTTCATAAAGCTCTCTGCTGTCCACCTGATTTTAATTAAAGGATGCAATACTGCATTAGCACATGACTCAAGAAAGGCTTGAGCAAAACCAGAGACAAAGCTCTGCTGAGTGTCTTTGTACCTCTTAGGACAGAGCTTTAGCCTGCTAGATATAAGTGTGCATTTCTGGGACTAGTGGAGATCGTAACTCTAAATCAGTGTCCAAATGTGTAACTGCTGGGGGATGCTGTGTGTGCATCTGCACTGTTTCTTTAACACAGCTGTGTGTGCTGGAGCTTACAGCTCAGGGTTTGGATGATTGCAGAACTCTCCAAGAGCATCTCCTGTTTCTTTTGAACCCTTCTCTACCTCTGGCAGAAAGCACAGTGAAGGGAAAGGAGAAGACAAGCAAGCCCACAGCTGCAGAAGCAACAAGGCAGCATCATGAAGAGCTTGGGAAGTAAGGGGGAAAAGCAGGATTTCAGCTGCTGAGCTGCAAAATGGGCCTTAAGTTGTCTTAAACTTAAATGATTCTGCTGCCACAGTCCAGTTTTAAATTGCTCTGGCAGGCCAATTTTAAACTCAGGTGTAAAATGGAACAGTTTCTTAAGGAGTAACTTAACTTTTCTTAGTGATTCAATATTCAGGCTGTAGAAAGTATTGTCACCTACTGATTGGTAGATATCAGGTTGCTTTTTATCTCTAAGGGTTTAGGTACCTTATTCTGGACACCCTCAGAAGTCTAAAAAACCTGGTGGACATAGAAAATTAATTTTAAATAGTATTTATATATTATGTAATAATAATTATCTTGTCTCTCCCCAGATGAAGTTAGGAATGGGACATACAGGCAGCTCTTTCATCCTGAACAACTGATATCTGGTAAAGAAGATGCTGCAAATAACTATGCTCGAGGTCATTACACAGTTGGGAAAGAGATAATCGATCTAGTTCTAGAGCGTATCAGGAAACTGGTAAGATTCTTCTTTACTGAAAGCTCTTAAACATCTTTTTTACCCTGTTTTACAGGATTTGGAAATTAGGCTATTCAGTACATAGTTATTCAATACATAAGCTGTGCTTTATATTTTTTTGTGGTAGGAGAATCTGTGGACTTAGTCTACATCTGGTTTTATTCTTAGCCAGCTGAGAATGGCTGGATTATTCCTGTCAGATACAGCTTTCAAGTGGCCTAAAATGCTGATGAGGCACCTAAAACTTCATATGTAGTTTCTTGTTCAACTTCAGAAAGCCAGGACAAAAATTATGATTCGCATAGTTCCTCCTGGAAAAGGGTTGGTCTCTGACTGTGACTCTTTCAAGGAAGTTTAAATAGGGGTGTTTCCTTCCATGGTTTAGACTGTTTCCATTTCCTGCTGTTATGATTTCTGGGTTAATTTTATGGTAATAACAGTAGAAAAGAAACAAATCTCAGTAAGTGGGGATGTTTCAGGCTCCCCAGTGCTTTGATCATGTGGCAGACTTACACAGATGGCAGCTTAGGAGGTCTGAGTTCCCTTTTTAGGGCTGCTAAGCATGTACATTACCCAATCTGTGTCACAAAGGTGGGAATTCTCGTTGCACAAAACAACCCAGGTATACCTCTGCTGCTTTGATACGGAATGCTAAGTGTGTCTTTGTGAAAAGTTCACCTTTTGCAGATCACAACTGGAATTATTCTCAGCACTTGGCTGCCACAGTCTCTAATTAAAGCAAAGATAAGTTTGCGGCAGGCTGTACTTTGACCTGAAAAACATGGTTGTAATTTCTTTTTACAAGCTGTTGGGAGTCCCTGTCAGTCCTGGGAATTGAGCTGAGCATCGTGTGGCACCTCTTTGTGAGGAGAGAGCTGTCTCATTGTGTCATCTGAGAAGCCTGAACTGGACTGGCTCTGTAATACACTGTGACAGCTCACTCCCCTGAGGAGATACATGCTTGGCACTTGTGCAGGTTTAGAACCAGGAGCTCTGGGATGGGGATTGCTCCATTTCTGTGCAGGTGGAGAATGTCAAATCAGTGTAAGGGGTAGATGGTGTGTAGGTCTTTCAACATTCTCTTGGTTATTGTTAATGGCCTTGGCTGAGAATTGAGAGTAAGGGGGATCTTGAGGTAGCAATTTGAAGAGGTTTAAAACAGCCAAGAATAGTGTTTTTCATGGGATACTTTCTTGATTATTGGTGGATAAATCAAATTCAGTACTTTTCTGAAGCCTGAACAGTTGGTATGCGTTAGAATTCAGAGCTGTCTTTCTTGAGCTGGATTTGGGATGCTTGATGTCCACACAACGACTCGAACACCTGTATTTTCTCTTTCAGTCAGATCAGTGCACTGGCTTGCAGGGTTTCCTGATTTTCCACAGCTTTGGGGGAGGCACTGGATCTGGTTTCACCTCTCTGCTGATGGAACGGCTCTCGGTTGACTATGGGAAAAAATCCAAACTGGAATTCGCCATCTACCCCGCACCTCAGGTCTCGACAGCTGTTGTGGAGCCGTACAACTCCATCCTGACCACCCACACCACGCTGGAACATTCCGACTGTGCCTTCATGGTTGACAATGAGGCCATTTATGACATTTGCCGTAGGAACCTGGACATTGAACGCCCAACCTACACCAACCTCAATCGCCTCATTGGTCAGATAGTGTCGTCCATCACTGCTTCCCTCAGGTTTGATGGTGCCTTAAATGTGGATCTTACTGAGTTTCAGACTAACTTGGTGCCTTACCCTCGGATCCACTTCCCACTGGTGACGTACTCACCGATTATCTCAGCAGAGAAGGCCTATCACGAGCAGCTCTCTGTGTCAGAGATCACCAACGCCTGCTTTGAGCCCTCCAACCAGATGGTGAAGTGTGACCCCCGCCACGGCAAGTACATGGCCTGTTGCATGTTGTACCGCGGGGACGTCGTTCCCAAGGACGTCAACGCCGCCATCGCCGCCATCAAAACCAAGCGCACCATCCAGTTCGTGGACTGGTGTCCTACTGGTTTTAAGGCAAGTCTCAGCCCTGTCGTGGCTTTTCAGGCTTCTCATTCGCTGTCCTGGGCCCAGGGAGTGTATTTGCTCATTGAGCTGTTCTGTAGGTACCTGGGTTGTATTTTAGGAAGTGGAGGTTTGGGCTCTCATACAGAGCAGCTTTGTGAGTGACACATTTTATTCAACTCTTGTTGTCTGACTTTGATTATAGTCTCTGTCAAACACCACAAAGAAACTCATGGTCTCTTCTGCATCTCCTGTAGGTTGGCATCAATTACCAGCCCCCTACAGTGGTTCCTGGGGGAGACCTGGCCAAAGTCCAGCGGGCAGTCTGCATGCTGAGCAACACCACGGCCATTGCCGAGGCCTGGGCTCGCCTGGACCACAAGTTTGACCTGATGTATGCCAAGCGTGCCTTTGTCCACTGGTATGTTGGAGAAGGGATGGAGGAGGGGGAGTTCTCAGAGGCCCGGGAAGATTTGGCTGCTCTTGAGAAAGATTATGAAGAAGTGGGCACAGACTCGATGGATGGAGAAGATGCAGGTGAAGAGTATTAAATCCAACAGTGAATTGCAAGTCTTTGCCCTTTTACTGCCTCTTTAGTAGCAATGTAAATCATGTCAACTGATTGGAATAAACTTCTTTAATCAAGAACTTTGGTAGTGTCCAAGCACTATGTATACTCATTAACTGTATGCAGTCAGCAGCCCAGGAGATGGAATTTCTTTTTAAGGATGGTAGCTAAATAAAATAACCATGCTGTAGTTCAATGAGTTCTTGTCCTTAAGACATTGCTATTTGAAGACATATTAGTGTCTTATCCTCCAGAATGAGACTAAAATGAGCTGGAGCTTTTGCTGGAAGATGGGTTAGATCAGTTAGTTCTGAGACTCCAAAGCTGGTGTCACAAGAGGCAACAGGTACTAACCTTGTGTTACCTGTAAAAAATGCAACACCTTCAAAACCAAAGGCTATTTGGGTTAGTTTTCTTCTATTTTTAGATTTAATGGGGGCCAGTAACTTAGAGATGCAGTAACCTAGCATGAGGAACCTGGAAGGGAAAGATGCCCAGGAAGGGTGTGTCACAGCACGAGGAAAGTCCCACCTCAGCCAGAACCTGTGTGGTGGTTGCCCTTGTGTTGCTGTGTCCTCCCACAGAAGGAACTGGAATCCCTGTCTGCAGCTCTTAGGAATCAGCTTTTGCCTGAAGCCAAGTCTCAGGGTTGGCTGGCCAGGGTTAAACACTAGTTTTCCCTAAATCTAATTGTTCTGTAGAAGTAATTAGTCTACTGGTTCAGATATGAACATTGCCATCCTTCTGTGTAAGCTGATGGAACAGGAGGGGATTTGGCTAATCAGGTTTATCTTCAGATGTGAACAGCCTCTGTCTGAAACCTTCTGCATGGACTGAGTGGGGGCCTGGGCACACAGTGAACCACAGACCAAATAACTTCACTGCTGTGGAGCTGGATGACTGAGGAATCTCCCCCAAAGGTGGAATAGTCAAATGTCAAGATGATGATTGAATACTGAATGTGATTACAGGATACCAAAGATGAGATTTGGGCTGGAGAATTCCCTGCTGTCCTATTTCAACCTTATTTATATTGCTTCTGATTTAATAGCAGAATGTGATTGAAGCCAAGCCTTGCAGCATGTTAGCTGCAGATGTGCACACCTGCTTGGAGGGAGTCTCAGCTGGGGTATGTTAAATTCCTGAGCTCCCTTCTGCTTGGAAGCCTCAGTGCTCAGGTAATGCTGCAGTATCTGACATCTCCTCACAAAGTGGGGCCCTTTCCCTGGTCCCAGTTGGGTGGACTTGTTCTAGACCGGGGGTATCACCTCTAATTTAGAGTAACAGGCTGCTGCTGTTCATGGAACAGCCTGGTCTGTGAGGGCTGACCAGGAATTCCTTGGGCTGAAAACCTGTTGTCCTGTCTCTCTGTTGGTTTTTGCAGCCATTGGGTTGAGTCAATCTGATTTGAACTTCTCGGAACTGGAAGCTGCCAATTTTACATAGATAGGGAGAGCAGTCTTAGGGCTTTACCACCTCAGTGAGTGGCTCAGTGTCAGCCACATTCCTGTGCAGGATGTGTGTCAATCATACCTCCTGCCATTCAGCACAGCTGAGTGTGGCCCGTGTTTCAGTGAGTTTCTTGTTTTGCTTTTCCTTGGGGTTTTATGTTTCGGGGTAGAAATAACCATCAAGAATTTAAAGTCCTGTTGATTAATTTATTTTCCTGCTTACTGGTTGATTAAGCAAATGTTTGGCAGGGGACAAGCACATTCCTTCCAGTCAGAACAGCTCCATTTCGGCACAGATTCAGGTTTTAGTGGGATGGCAGTGCCCATGAGAGGAGTGTGCAAAGGGCTGTTTCATGCCTTGCAGGTGTCAGGTTTTCACACTGAAGATCCTGTATGGCCAGCAGATCATGGAGAGGGCTCTGTGCCACAAGTGCCAGCACCATGATTTCCTCTGGAAGTTCAGTGTTTCGGGGTTGTGGATTTCTGAACTGGCCTTCATTGTAATCTCTTAGTAGTGATTTGGCTCTTCTGTGAGGAATTTGGTTTCACTGAGGCTTGGCCTGCTCTGTCTCCTGCAGAAGTGTCTGGGTTTTACTGCACATGTGGATTACCCATATTTAGGACACTGCCAGTGCAGTGGGAATTGGCTTGTGGTGTGTCTGTGTGTTTTATCCAGGCATGGACAGTGATGAGTCTGTGCAGGGCATGGCACTGAGCAGCTCTGTGAAACCCTTGTGCATATGGAATGCTGAGCTCTGGAAAGCTGGGAATCTTGCTTTGTGTAGGCAGATGAGATGCATTATGCTTTTAATTTTTAAAAGTAACATGGAATGCTACTTAGAGAAGATGTAATCTGAAACACCACTGGAGAAGGTTTCACAAGAGATGCTTTGTCGCATGGTAGCCATTGGACTGATGCTGCAAACATATTAGACATTTTCAGCCTACATCGTACTTGAAATTTCTTTATATTAGTATTAAGAAACACTGTTGCCTTAGCCAGTGGGCAGCTGATCTCAGTGTAGGCATGTGTATGCTGAGCTAAGATAAGATAGGGTTTTTCTCAGATATGAAGCCAAGAAAATTACAGCAGGAAAATCCTGCTGAAACTGCTCTTGCTTCAGCGAGCTGCAGAAATCCTTAAACATGTTCTAATTACTGGCTCTGTGGTTGAATGAACAAATGTGTGGTTCATCTGTTTCCTGAAATGTAGAGGAGATCTTGCACTGAATTAAAGTTTAAGGGTGTGTACCTGGGACTTGCAGAGGCTCATATCAGCTGCCCCTTTAAGGAAAACTGCTTGCTTTGCACTCTGAAAGCCTTTCTCTAATTCTACCCTTTAAATGTTGTTTTCTTTGATAAGAAATGCCCACAGTCGTGCTTTGCACAGTCATGTGCCTGTTTGCACTGGCAGAAGTGCAGGCATTATCCGGTGGTAACTAAATATATCTTTACCTGTGTGGTGACACAGCTTTCTCCAGTACTGAGATTGGCAATTAATAGCTCTCAGCTGATGGAATCACTTGTGTGAGTCATGAAGTGAAGGAGGAGGAAGTGGGCTGGAGCCCATGGGGGTCACTGTGAACTTTGTAAATTCTGGTGTTATCTGTAAGATCTGTTCTAGGACAGTCCTGGTGCCGTGCCAGGGGAATGCAATGCAGCAGAATCTGATTTCCACCTACTCTGCCCTCTGAAAAAGCAATCCCAGTCCCCTTCAATGTGCTAATATCTATATTATGTATAGATATAATTATGTACGTTCCTAATTTCTATAGTAAGCATGCCACAGTGTAATTGTAAGAAAAATCTCATTTGAGCAGCAGAGGTAACATAAGCCCACAGCTACACATGGTGACACCTCTTGTCTACAGAGCAAACTGTTCTCAAATAAAATCAGAAAGGGCTTCTGTGCCTCTTGATAGGTCAAGTTCTGTCACACAGGTAACATTCACCCATTCAGCCTGTTGTTGCAAAGCAGCAACTTATCTAAGGGAGCTCTTTGGAGCTGGAATTGGTGAGATTTTAAAGTGAGTAAGTACAGGAACAATAAGGTGACTCCAGTATTGTGCTGGAAAAAGGGAAGAGATTGCAAATGACACTGCTTTTGGCAGTGTTTTTGGAAAATACAAAGCATTATCTGAAAAAAATGGATAGTGTAAGTTGGTAGTAAAGATTCTCTGGCTTTACCTTCTTCCTTTCTCCACAGGGCAATGGTGAAGAGTTGGACAATGATGGTTCCTGGGCAGTTTAGGGTGACTTCTTAAGGAACTAGTGGGAAAGCCAAGGGAATAGCAGTGTCAATCCATTCCTTTTTGCTCACTTAGAGCAGCCATAGTTATGTTGCCATAGTTCTTGGCTGTCTTGTCCCAGGCATTCAGCCTTGCTAGGCCTGCTATTGGCATCCTGCTCCCACTCTGGCAAATTCCCCAAGACAAGCCAGGCCAGCATCATTCTGAGCTCACCTCTGCTTTGCAGTCAAATCTGTGTGAATGTTGTAACAACAGAGACCTGGTGCTGCTGATGTGCTGCCCTGTGCCATTCACCTCTGTGTTCTGCCAAACCAACCTGTTTGCCTTTGCACCAGGCCATGGTTTCCTGTGTGTAGGAGATGCTGCACAGAAGCAAAGCTGCAGTGGTCACTACTTACAGTGCAGAGCTAGTTCAGTGTAATGGGGTGGATTTTTCACTGGCCTTGCTGAAGTTTTGTAGCAATGGAAGATTCCAGTTATTTTGTGGATTTTTGTCAATCACAGACTGTTTTGAGTTGGAAGGGACCTGAAAGCTCATCCAGTTCCACCCCCTGCCATGGGCAGGGACACCTCCCACTAGCCCAGGTTGCTCCAAGCCCCCTCCAACCTGGCCTTGGACACTTCCAGGGATGGTGCAGCCACAGCTTCTCTGGGCAACCTGTGCCAGGGCCTCCCCACCTTCACAGTACCTTTGAAGTCACATTTCTTCTATAAGTCATAAAAGTTTAGGAAGAAAAATCAGCCTGGTATTAAATGTGAAGATGCCATATCCTGTATAGGAGCTGTGAACTACCATGGCCAAGAAAGGACAGAGGCTTCTGTCAGGAAAAGGATAGTGCATTAGGTGACTCCTGATCTTACCAGTTTTGTCATGTTTATAAGGATTACTTAAAATAAAGAAGCATTTTCATTTGAACTCTGAAAACAAGGACTGGGTTTATAAGCAAATTTAGCAGTAAAGACCTGAAGAACAATTTTCCATCATACTGCAGAACTCCCTGGAAGGGCTGTAGGGGTTTCTGTGTGTGTTGGGGAGGGGATAATGATTAATCCCTTCCTTCTATCTGGATCTGAACTGGAGGGAGGACTAACAGTGTTACTTCCAGGCTGTGCAAAGACTTTGATCTACAGATTTCTCCTAAAAGTTGGGCAAGCAGATTAAAGATGTGGAGTCTCAACTGGCTGTTATGGGGAGAGGAACTGAGAGCATGATGAGGTGGGAGAAATTACATTGCTCTGAAGATATTGTAGGTGTTAGCTGATGAGACACTGAGAAATACCAGGACACTAAATAAAAAAAATAAATTAAAAAACCCAAAACCAAAAACAACAAAAAGAGGAAAAGGGCAAGAGTCATATGAGGAGTGGTGTCTCATGTGGAGCTTTTTCAGTGAATTGAGTCTGTTAAACCCTGGTTTCCACCTTTCTTCCATATTCTTCTCCATCTTCTGCCATATCCCTGTTTCTTGGCTTTCTGCAGACTTTCCTTT